GAGAGAGAGAGAGAGAGAGAGAGAGAGAGAGAGAGAGAGAGAGAGAGAGAGAGAGAGAGAGAGAGAGAGAGGACTGAAATAGGACACAGGATGGGCTCTGAATAAGGCAGTGACAAACTTAGGACAGAAGCAAAATTTGTGATGAAGTACGCAGTAGGGATTTTTCAGCAACTTGGGTAGGCCTGAAATTGGCTGAGGAGAGAAGTAGGCCTGAGATTGGGCACCGGTTTTCAGAAGGGCTTGGACAGACAAGCACAGAAGAAGAATCTGTGAAGTACCTGTCAGGGATGTTTCAGCAACTTGGATGGGCCCAAGTTAGTCCGGTAGGCTGAGGTAGCTTCCAAGAGATGTAATGAGCATACAGGGCCCCTACTTAAGGTCGTTTTCCGGTTAGGTTCACACTCTGAGGTTGGATGCAGACTGGAATGGTGTTGCTTCCCGCCAGTTATGAATAGGCCAGCACATTTTCCCGGCAGTCATGCTGCTGCTCTGCACAGAGGGGGAGTTAGGTGGAGCTCTGGCTGAACCGGTGGATGTGGAGGGTGAAGTGAACTTCATCGCGATTGAGTAGTAGAATGGTGTAGGCCTAGGCTATGGTGAAGGGAGGACAAAGAGTTGAGGTTGGGGGAGAGGAAGAAGGATGGAACCATTAGAGGAGACTTTTGGCTATGGTGGATCATTATCTCCACTTCATTGGTTTGCTTCATGCTGCATCTAGAAGGTCCCTATGGGAGTAGTGGTTGGCCTTGGACTGCATCCTGAAGTTTGACTATGGTGGCATTAGTCAGGAGAGGCACATTAGTAGTTTCGTTGTCCTTCAAACATCTGCTGGCTATAGGGATGTTCCACCATAGCTAGTTGCTACCAAGAGAGAAGAAAGAGAAAAGTGAGACTGAAACTGAAGCTCTTTGAGTGGTGACAGTAAGGGGGATTACTCGGACATGGTTCTTGTTCGTTCTTTCATTTATTCTTTCATTTCATTAGTCGTTGGAAGAGGAGGAGTTTGAAGAAGAACTTGGGAGAGAACAGCGGGAGATGACATTGGTTCACAAACTTGGGTACTCCTTCCTCTTCTTCTTCTTCTTCTTCTTCCTCTTCTTCTTCTTCTTCTTCTCTTCTTCTTCTTCTTCTTCTTCTTCTTCTTCTTCTTCTTCTTCTCTTTTTTTTTTTTTTTTTTTTTCCCCCCCCCCCCCCCCCCCCCCCCCCCCCCCCCCCCCCCCCCCTTCTTTGTTTTGTTCCGCTCTTTGTCCCTGCTCACTTCCTCTTGAATGCAGTATATCTTGCATTGTCTCGAAGCTGACTTTGCACCACGAATGAGGTGGGATGATATGATCATCATAGTGGAAAATATGGAATGGAAATGGTTAAATTAATGGCAACGCCTGAATGGATGGAATGAATGAAAGAGAGGAATCGCGAGTAATCAGTGAGCAGGAGGGTGGAGAGCAGACAAGGGAAGGGGGGAGGTGGTTGGTTGACCGTGTGTGATGTACCTGTGTGTATGCAGATAACAAATCTGTGTGCATGTGAAGGCAAAACATGGAACAGGTAATACGAGGGGAGATCAGTTTTCAGGTTCGGTTATGTAGCAGGAAATGTTCACACGTTGGTGCCTATTGCACATCCTACTTCTACTGGGCCTGTCACTGTTTCTTGAAGGGCTCAGGCCAATCCATTAGCTGTCTGATCCATTGCTACCGGTGGTGACTTCCCAGTGATGTGTACGCAATTGAAGAACGAACAGCGGCATGGATCTTATCGATTGTGGACTTCCAAATTTGAGTGGTTATGCAGATAGGGATTGAGAGGCAAGTGCTCATGGCGACGTATAACGATGCCAAACCAGTGGCGTGGAGAAGAGGACCGACGAAGATAAAAGAATGCTTTACTGCCGATGGGACAAGAATGTGAGCTCTCTTAACATTTTCTCGTTCTTTACAATAGGAACTCACTGCAGCATCAGCCATTTCTTTTTTTTTCTTTTTTCTTTTCTTTTTTTTGCACTTGTCATAGCATCTTTTCTTTCTGATGCTGATTCGCTGGGTTTGCGAGAGGATGACGGTACTTCCCCTTGCCCTGACGCGATTCTGACTCAGTTAAGTCCCACTGAGTGGGCACGGCAGATGACTTCTCATCAAGTCTTCTAATTCTCAGTCATGTAGTCCCTAATCATGTTTACCTTTTGTGAAAAGTCATTGGCAAGGCCTGTGCAGGCAAAGAGCATGGACAACTTTTTGAACGGAAAGTTCTGAGTAAGGCTGATGCTGTCAATCAAGGTTGACGAACAGGGTGCGTTCTCTTTTTGAAGTTTCTATGCACCAGAGCTTAGGAATCTTTTTCTGCTGTCCTTCGGGGCATCCGTTAAAATTGGAACGATACAGAGAAGATTAGCATGGCCCCTGCGCAAGGATGACACCCATAAATTGAGAAATGGTCCCAAAAAAAAAACAAAAAAAAAACAAAAAAAAAACAGGAATCTTTTTCTGCTGACAGTGGAATCATGTTTGGATCCCACGTAGGCAGTGCCATCACAGAAGGATGAAATGGGGTGAAGAAACAAACAAATGGAAACAAGTGGAGGGAATAGGCATAGGTGGTACAGGAGCACAATTTCCGCTCAACCTCAGTGCGACATTTATATTTGAATAGGACGTCCATGTGTTATATAACGTATATTTGAATGTGGCATTGGTAGAATGCCCTGTATTGGGGGGGGGTGGGGGGAGGGTGGTACGGATGGTGTTTAAAGGGGGTTGAAAGGGCTTTTACGTTTTAACTTGATTTTTCTTTTTCTGTTTCTTTCTATCTTCAAATGGGGAGGAATTCTGAAGTGATCCTCAGCTCAGGTGTTATACAACTTATATTTGAAGGTGGCATTGGTAGAATGCCCTGTATGGGGGGGGAAGGAAGGGCAATATGCATGGTGTTTAAAGGGGGTTGAAAGGGCTTTTAATTTGACTTTTCTATTTCGGTTTCTTTTTATCTTCAAATAGGAAGGAATTCTGAAGTGATCCTCAGCTAAAAGTTGATTTTGGCTTGATTAGGAAGGGGGGTACGCAAGCGGGTGGCTTTAGCTTGATTTTTTTCTATGTTAGATTCCTTGTCTTCGAATTAGGGAGGAATTCTGAAGTGATCCTCAGCCAAAAGTTGTTCACATTCCAATTCTACACAACATATTTTTTCAATGAACTTTTTGTTTTGTTTTGTTTTTCCCTTCAGGTGGGGTCCCCAGCGAAGTGGCCACCGATCTACTGAATATAATGCCTGGCTGTTGTAAACAAATAAAATGCCGCGCTGGCATTATATATTCGCACGTAACATCCGGGTGTTATTGTCGGGTCAAAAAACCACCACGCCTGCTGAGCGACCAATAGAATTCCCAGTTGGCAACTGGCAGGCTTCAGCCAGGTTCGGAAAAAAGGGCCCATGCAGGTTCAACCAGGGTGCAAATTGAAAATGGTCCCCGGTCAGGGTCTGGTTTGGATCCCATCCCAGACTCCGGGTCTGGCAACAAAAAGTGACTGGTGGTGTAAGGCAGTCATCTGACTCCATGTCTCTGCCAATCTGGTTCGCAGGTTCCTGAGGGGCAATCAAGAGGTAGTCTTGAACACGGATGCGAAGAACCCAAGACTTGGAGTTGATCTTGGACAATTACTACAACAGGCAGAGGAAAAGAAGGGTGGTACAATTCAGGCTGCAAGTGGTCTGGAGTCCCGGAAGCGGGCTCTGAATGAGGAGCTTACAGCTGCAAGAGGGAACCTGCATGCTGCAAAGGTGAGGCTTTGTGTTACTGCTCTTGCTTGGCTTTTTTCGTTCTTTTTGTGCTTGTTTCCACTCGTCTTGCTGAAAAGTTAACAAAAGTACCCATCTTCCTCCGCAGCAGGTGCAGAGTGTGGCAAATTTACCGCAATGAATATGGCACTCTCTCAGTAAGTTGCCTCGATCTGCTTTCTGCTTGTTGCACCTAAATTGCCTTATGAGTTTGGTCGAAAATGCAGTCCTGGAGGTCATACATCGCCCTTAAATTTGCACATGATTATATAATACCTATTGGTCCTGTACTCTTGTGCTCTCCCCAATTTGCAGACGTTATATGCTGTCACAAGTCATGGCTCGCCATGGCTTTGCCTCGGCAGGAGGAAGGTGAGATGCAGGCATGTGTTCGTGTTTGTTTGTCTTTGCAATTCATGAATCCAAATGAGATTGCATGGCTTCATGGAATGCCATACAATGCTGTACTACTCGATACCATGCGGGGTGAGAGTGCTGCTTTGTGAGCAGGAAGGGTGATACCATGCGGGTTGGTGGTAGCACGTGGACTGGGTGGTCTGGCTGTGGAGGTCATTGTATATGGAGTGGCTGGTACTTTGCAGGCCGTCTGGTACAGTGCAGGGTAGGTGGGTGATGCTACTTGCACTGGGTGGTGCAATGTGGAATATGTGTTTGACTCTGTGTGGGCCAAGCTGCGCTCCCAACCCCCTGCCCCCATTTCCTCAAAAAGGAGAAACAAAGGAGAAGTCACCTTATGCAGACTGGACGGTATGAACACACAGCCACAGAAAAAAAACACCCTGTGTGATGCTAGCTGAGTTGGATGGTAGCATTGTGTTATGATTCTGGTTGTTCGTTGTCTGAAGACCAACACTCACTCGCATAGACTTCCAGGTATGCCCATACATACACAGAAGGAAGGGGAGACGATAGTTGTATCACACCGCACAGGGATAGATAAACACAGCGGAAGACTTGACCATGCGATATGACAGGGTACACTGAAAGTGCAATTCACTCCACTCAATCCTCACAACCAGACACCCAAGAAACAATGAAACGATGATAGTCCAAACCCAGTAGTACACTGTTTATTAAACTCGGAGTCTCGAATTGTCAGGATAACCTCACTACTACAGTGCGCTGCTCAGAAATGAGCAGCGCTTCACTCCCCAACCCCGAGTAAYCACTCGTGACACCCCTGAGCCCCTGAAACATCAAGCGCCACCCAAGTACTGCCTCCAGAGGGCAGCGCCACCTTGAAACAGGCCTCTGAGGCCAAGCGCCACTCAGAGGGTGAAGAAGAAGACCAGCACCACAGCATCTGATGATGACGAAGTGTCGGAAGACTTCCCGGGTGGAAGTCTGCAGCAGCGCCACCAAATCCCAACAAGATGACCTATGAGGAGGAAGCTGTAGTTGTGGCTGCAGCGCCATAACCCTGTGACCCCACTCCGGAGGCGGGTCCAGCAGGGCACCAACTTCTCTCGCCTCCARCAGACCTCAATAGCCCAGACCTCTGTTCAGCCTCGCGTGCTGACAGAGTACAGCGCAGGTCCCAGCTGTGGCCGGCGCTCCTTAGGTCTGGCTATNCGTGCTGACAGAGTACAGCGCAGGTCCCAGCTGTGGCCGGCGCTCCTTAGGTCTGGCTATGTCTGTCTCCCACAACGCTGAGCCGTCACCACTTCTGGTTCACGCGTAGCACAGCAGCGATGTACTCAGTACCAACTGCCAAAAGCCCTGAACCGATGTGCCCACTCTATCTATAGTCCTACACTAGCCTAGACTCGACCTAGACCTGACTGACTGACCGACCGACCGGTACCGTTTCTGTTTCAGCCTCTCGGCCTCTACCTTACCCGGCTATAGGCTATAGGACCGTCTATCAGCATAGGCCTGTCTGTCCTAGCGGTAGACCGTGCCTGTTATTCGCAGTTAGGGTAGCAGTAGGAAATTCAGTTAGTGTTGGGCCTATATCTTCCCAAATTTGAAGATATGTCCCTCACGAATTTCCCCTACAAGTAGGTCGTTCGGTTAGCCCTCAGCCAAACAAAATTACGAATCTATCTTACCTACGGTACAGCCTCAACAAAGAGAGGCTACAGGCGACCAGAAAAGTCATTGCAGACCTACCCTCCCCCGGAGCGAGGACCTCCGAGCTAGGGGCGTAGGCGTGCAGATCGTCGAAGGGATTCTCCCTTTCGTGCTGCCTCATATCTGAGGATAACAAAATTTGCGGTTTTCAGAAGTTCCTTGCGAGTAAACCAGCGATTTTCAGTATGAGGCTGGTATAAGAACTTCACAAGGTACTCCTTATCTAGACCTGTACCTGCCTCATCCTACACAGATTCCACCTCATATCCCTTGCCAGGAATAGGGGGACCGAACTGAGGAGGCCTGCCTCGATATGCGTCAGCTGATGTGAATGGCAGCAACTTAGATGTATGAAAGAGAGGGTAGGTTTGTATATTCAGGGGCCATCCACTGTATAGGATGGTCCAAAAGGATCGGCTCCTATTGTATCTAAGACCTGGGATGGACCCATGTATCGTGGCAGCAGCTTAGGCGAAATGTCCTCCTCTCGTGACAGCTCAGAACGGAGTACCCACACCCAGTCACCTATGCGAATAGTAGAGGGGCGTCTATGCCTGTTGGCCTGCTGCATCATAGCCTTCTGGGCTTTGAGCAGGTTGGCACGGACGCGCTTAATGTCCACACGGTAACGCGTGGTGAATTCTGCAGTTCCAGGTGTCAACGTAGGGGTAGCCTTATCGATGATGTCATCGAGAGGCTGCCATGGCCCACGACCCAGTGTAACCGGTAGGGTGTAAAGCAGTAGAGGAGTGTACAGAAGTATTGTATACAAGTTGTGCACGACCAAGATGGAGATTCCAATCTTGCTGATCTGGACTGATCACAAGACGCAGCAATTGAAATAAAATCTGGTTCATCACTTCAACCTGTCCATTGGCTTCCGGATGACGACCATATGTCATATCCAGTCCGTAATGAAGGTAATCCCTGCAGTAGGATTGCCATTCATTGCTCCAAAAACAAGGATTTCGGTCACTGACTATAGAGGTGGGTGGTCCATGATGTGTGACCCACCTGTCAGCAAATGCCGCCTGGACGGTTGGAAAGCGAACCTCAACTGGAGATGAACTCTGCATATTTGGAGAACCGATTTACACAGACCATGACCTGATGCATCCCACGAGGAGTGGTCCTACCCCAGTCAGTAAAATCAATAGACACTGACTGTGCAGGGGTATCAGGGATAGGTAGTGGTTTGAGTAGGCCAAGGGGAGGTCGGCGTACCACCTTATTCCTTTGGCGTAACTCACAGGTTTCCACATAGCGCAGCATGTCACTCCTCATCTCCTTCCAGAAGAAGCGTTGCGACAGGGCTGCATACGATTTGAGGGCTCCAAAGTGATCATGAGCATCATGACACTCTAACATCAGGAGTGTTCTCAACTTGTGGTCTTGGGGAATGCACAAGCGTTCCTCACCTCTGCTGCAAGTATACAACAGGTCTGAAACTTGAGTATATCCTGGTTCAGATGTAGGATCATCTTGGAGATTCCACACTATAGGCACAAAAATCGCATCCTGGGGCAGCAACCGGGCAATGGTCTGACTTATCTCCAAATGAGTGAGTGAAGGAGACGAAGAAAAGAGTGTCAGGCCTACGAGAAAGGGCATCTGCTACTCGATTGTAGCAACCCTTCTTGTGCTTCAGTTCAAAGTCAAACATGTCGATGAACTGAATGTATACTAGGGTGATAAACCCCATGCCGATCAGGTAGCTCAACCCTAGGGATCCTCCAGTCGATCCTAGGAATGGTGGCACCAAGCCACTACATAGAGAAGACAAGGTCAAAGGGAACGTTAGGAAACACATGGAAATTCAGGCGGTGTCTGATTTCTCCCTGCGTATCAAAGGTCACAAGTAGGCCTTTGACGATAGTCGTGATCCTAACTGTGGAAGAGTCCGCAATACGAACCTCTATAGGCTATTGCAATTTCACTGCTCTCTAATCCAAGTGCAGCTTGCTGACTGCCTTGGGAGACAGGAAGTTGCCAGTAGCCCCACAGTCTAAGAGCCCTTTGATCTTGGCTCCGAGGATAGAGGGTCGAAGCAGGATGAGTTCTGACCTATGCTTTTTCTTCTCCTGCAAGGATAGGAAAAGATCAGCAAGGCACTGAGCATCCTCCTCCTCCCACGTCTCATCCAACTCATAGTCCTCAAAAGTAAAGGACCCTGAAGATGCAACTCCCAGCGAAGAACCAGCGAGAGAATGTGATCAGCAAGTGAATCCGAACTGGTGGAAGGAGTTGCTGCTTCCACCTCTCTCTGCTCTAGTTTTTTGAACTAGAGTTGCATGTGGACCTGCGAGGCATGCTGGGACAGTCCTTTAAGAAGTGGTCCCCCTCATGCTTCAGGCAGACACCCTTGTCCTTTCTCTTTCTCCAAACCTCCTCCTGGATACTAAGTGCATGCCAGGGGAAGGTGGAAGGATCAAGGGGGTCAGCTGGCCATCGGACGTCACGTGGTAAAGGCACTCTCTGGGCACCAGGGGAAGAGGCAAGTCCCTTACCTTTCCCCTTGCTGTTGGCTGGTGCTTTACCCCTTGCCATGCCCATCAAAGCATCAACCAGGGCAAGAACAACAGGATCTGTAGCAAATGAGGGAGCAGTCCCGGATGGAGGGGCCCCACCCTGGGATGCTGCATCACTATCTAAACTGGAGCCTGCATTAGCAAACATGACACCCTTCCTCCTTCTTCGCCCCTTTGAGGGTCCCTTCCTTCAGAAGGTGCTTCCTGGACATGGAGTTTAGACTTCAAGTCCAGGGCTGCTCTGCCAAAGGACTGTCAGTCCTTGTGGCCCTTAGAGAATAATGCCAGCTGGTATTGCTAAGGCGCTGCACGCAAGAAATGAATGAGCAAGTCCTGCTCACTGATCTCTAACCCTGGAGTCGGTGTCAGACTCTCAAAGGT